ACACACACACACACACACACACACACACACACACACACACACACACATCTTTCTGTGTATATTATAGCTTCTGTGATGATGTCTTCTGCATTCTTTTGGTTCTGATTTCTGCTGCATGGTATTATACTGTATATTATTGTATATAAAGAAGTTTCTCCTATAAATGAATGCTACTAAATTATTTATTTGTGAGCTGATTGGATTGCTGCAAACTCTAATAGGTTATGGGCCCAGAGCACACACACAGTAAGACTGAACTGTAATTAAGCTGAAGGACAGGAATTAAGCTGTGTTAAAAGGAAAGCCTGAGAAGGCTTTCAGGATGGCTGTTGAATTCAAGGAGAGCTCTCTTCCTTGATTGGGACAGAAGAATTATATTGCTTGGGCTGCAAAATTTGAATGCTTCCTGAAGGCTAAGGAGCTCTGGGATATTGTTATTAATCTACCCCAGGCACCATTAGCAGCAGCAGATCAAAAGAAGCATGATAAGGCACTGGCCTACATCATCTTAAGTTTAGAAGATGAACAATTTTTGAATGTAGTTGATTTAAAGACTGCAAATGAGGTTTGGCTGAAATTGAGAAGTGTGCATGTGAGTGCATCAGCATGCAATATTGGTTCAATGTGCCCAATTGAGATAATTGTACAGAGCCAGATTGCAGTCACAAGTGAGTGTGGAGCAGCATTTGTTGCACATGCAGAATTGGAAAAGCGTGGAATGAAGATTCCAAAATCTCAGAAGGTGCTGTTGGTGTTAAAGAGTCTTGATGAAATGTGGGACATTGTTTCAGCTGCTTTTGAGTGCAAACCAGAACATGACTTACGAATGGAAGCCCTTAAAGGCTGTTTGCTTTCTGAAGAAAACAAATGCCATTTTAGAAAAAGCCACAAGGAAAAACACATCCTTTCTGCCACACATTTAACTATAACTTCTGTACATTAAAACATTGCACATGCCTTCAGATTTACTTCCCTAGCTTGCACATGACCATTAGACCCAGGAGATGTCATGGATTGAGTAAAATGTGGTGAAACTCACTTAACAACACTCTTGCTTAGCAACCAAAATTTTGGCTCAATTGTGGTCATAAGTGAAAGACTGGAGGGTGAGATGCAGGTTAATGGATGTGTTTTTCCAAATGCAGTGAGGTTGAATGTGTATAGTTTTAGAAGAGCTCTCTCTCTTTCTCTGTGTCTGTGTCTGTGTGCGTGTGTGTGTGTGTGTACATACATATACAGTATATATAGTAGATAATGTATCCTTTTGTGTGCCTATACACACACTATACTATGTAATATGTATGTACACATATGGCATATATACATAGGATTAAATAGTGTATTTTGGATGTTCAGTAGTAGTAAATAAATAGAGAGCAAAATTGTATCTCTTTGAGGCAAGGAGAGGCCAGGCAAGGCACCCCTTGATGTGAGTGATGTCAAGTTGGCCATGTCTCCCAATCACATGACCACCCAGCAAACCCACCCAGTCACATGACCACCAAGCCACACCCACCAAATAAGACATGCCACAGAACTGGTAGTAAAGATTTTTGAATCCCACCACTGGTTGGCACTAGTATTGGCAGTGGCATGTGACATAAAATTTGGCATTTTAATATAACCACAGCATTCCTCAGTGCAGAATTAGAGGCAGAAATTTACATGGTTCAAGGACCAAAGTATGAAAGTAAAAAGCTTAACATTGTGTATAAATTGAACAAGGCCATTTATGGGCTGAAGCAGTCAGCCAGGAATTGGAATATATGTTTAGATATGGCATTGAAGGGCCTTGGGTTCAAGAGTTGCAAGGCTGATGGTTGCATATATACTGGAAAGATACAAGGTGGGGATTGTCAATTGTTAGCATTTGTGGATGATCTTTGTTTCATTGCAAAGGATTTGTCACAGAAAAAGAAATTTGCTAATCAATTAGAGAAAAAAAATTGAAATAAAGAATTTGGGTGAAATACAAAATTATTTTGGTGTAGAGATACAAAAAACTGAGAAAGATGGTTATGTTCTCAGTCAAAGAAGAAAAATTGAACAGCTGTTGGAGAGATACAACATGAAGGATTGTAATTCTGCTCCAACACCTATGAGCACAGATTTTCATATCAGTTTGGGAGAGGACAAAAGTGAAGCTGTGATCAAGAGATATATCAGTCAGCAATAGGGAGCCTGTTATATCTGTCGCAGTGGTCCAGATCTGACATAGCTTGTGTAGTAAGCATCCTAAGTTGCTTTACTGCTGTACCAATGTAATTGCATTGGATGGGTATAAAAAGGATTCTCAGGTATTTGAAGGGAACTGTGAACTTGGGTCTTCAAATACAGGTATCTGAAGAATTGAAACTGAAATGTTATGTTGATAGTTGATTATGCTAATGATGTACAAACCAGAAAGCCCAATTCTGGGATTGTGGTATTGTTTGGAGGGGCTTTAATTGGTTAGAAGTCCAGAAAACAAACTACTGTAGGAAGAATTTTTAGCTCTATCTGAACTTTGTTCAGAGGTAAGTTGGTATGTACAGCTGTTACAGGATATAAGCGCAAAGGTAAATGATGCTGTAACAGTGTATGAGAATAATGCTGCTTGCATTAAAATAGCAACAGGCGACAGAGTAAAGAATAGAAGCAAGCATGTAGACATTAAATATTGTAATGTCAGAAAAGCCATTAAATGTAAATTAATTAGCTTGCTTCACTGTTCTTCAGAGGACAATCTGGCAGATATAATGACCAAGCCATTGGATGGAGTGCACCATGGGAACAATATTAAGTTATTCAGTTTTATGTCTATTCCAGTCATGAAGTGAGGAGTGGCAGTGTATGACAGTTCATGAATTGGAATAGAAATGGTAACAGGTCAGCCAATGGAAACTGTTTGGTGACTAAGAAACAGCACGTTGTGAGCTATGGGAGATAGCTTGGGCTTGGCTTAGTTCTGTCTATATAAGAGTTGCTTTGCTTTCTGTGTATATTATAGCTTCTGTGATGATGACTTCTGCATTCTTCTGGTTCTGACTTCTGCTGCATGGTATGTATATATGCATCATACTGTATATTATTTATATGAAGAAGTTTCTTCTATAAATGAATCCTGCGGAATTATTTACTTATGTGCTGTTTGGATTGCTGCAAACTCTCTAACAACATTTAATTCTGTTCAACCATTTTCAACTTCTTATATCTCAGGCCAGCAGCAGCTGCGGCTTGTAGATGGCCCTGAATCTTGTGCTGGACGGGTGGAGGTGTTGCACAAAGGCCAGTGGGGCACAGTGTGTGATGATGGCTGGGACTTGGTGGATGCAGCTGTTGTATGTCGTGAGTTGGACTGTGGAGCTCCACTTCTCAGTCCAGGTAATGCTCGATATGGACCAGGATCTGGACCTATCTGGTTAGATGATGTCAATTGCGCTGGGAGAGAGTTTACTATAAAGCACTGTCATTCTAAGCCTTGGGGGAAGCATAACTGCAATCATCATGAAGATGCTTCTGTCATCTGCACAGGTGAGGAATTTTTCTGTTTCTATCCAAGCATGTTTAATGAGAACATCTGCTTGGTTTCTGAGAATGGTCAGAAATAACTAGCATTATGGGAAAAGAATAGTGGTAAATCTAACACTAGTAAACATTTTCTGATTTTAGGCAGCTGGAAACGTCTGTTGTTCCAAAAACCAATTGGTAGCTCAAAGGCAACTGAACTACCAATCTCTATCACACCTGAGCCAATATCTCCAAACAATTCAGAGCTGCAAAATGTGATGGATGTAGCAGAGATTACCACAAACACTAAGGTATTTCCAGATGAGTCAAACATAAAATCTCAGTGGTATACTGAGGATCCTTTTTTAAAAATACCAAGTCTCAAAATTGAATTGGAAAATGAGACAAAGCCAATAAATCCTTCAGGTATTGTTGAATCAACACTTAGTCCAAATATATTGCAGCACATGCAGGACAAAAATTCACACAACTTACCTAAAACAAAATTGTCCACATGCAAATGGAAAAAAGAATCAATTTTTTCCACAGAAAAATTTCAGCCATCCTCCATCACACCATATACAGAATCTAAAAGGGAAATAAAGTCAACCACTCCTGCATTCGTAGATAAAATAATATATAATTCAGAGAACTCACAGAATGTTCAGGAGATGGAATCAGCTACTTCTTCAAAGATCATGTCATTATTTCAAAAAAGGAAGAAAATGCCCATTTCACAATCCATAGAATTCAAATCATTATCCACATGGGATATTGAATCAAACAGAGAAAGGCCATCAGGAGCAGGACCACTACCATTTTCACAATCCTTTAACTCTGTTCCGGAGAGAGTGCCTTCCATCTATTGGGATAGCAATGTTGAAGTGTCCCTAGCCTCAAAGAACATAGAATTCAATGATGTCTTCAATAAAAATCAGGATATCACCACTGCCACATGGATTCGGGCACCTGAGAAAGTCATAAGCACATCTGATATGAGAAATGAATTGTTTGAATTCTCAAAAAGCTTGAAAGTCGCAAAAGAGGTGGAACTGCCTATAACCACAAAGAATTTGCAACCTGAGAAGCACATTGAAACAACCACCGCGAAAGTTATAGTTTCTGAAGAGAAATCAAATCAAGAAAAACAGGAGGAATCAAATACAGATCCCCATCCTGTGGAACTCTCGGGTGAGTAACAGTCCCAAAGCAAGGCCCAAGATTGGATGTGCTAATGAATCTCTATTTGGTTCCCTTTGGTAATTATTATCTTTGTCTTTCTTGCTACCAGAAAAGAAGGGTATGTACTTAATTTGTAAAAGGGGAACAGTAGTGGTTGGAAAAGGAGAAATATAGTTTCATTTTTCTCCTGGAAAAATCAATAGCAGACATCTAGAGGGGGCAGCTCCTCCTTTCTGTTTGTCTTTTTATCTTCCTGAAGGAAAAGGCAGATTTATTTAGTATTTATTTAGTATTCATTCATTCATTCATTACATTTATATGCCACCCCTCTCACTGACAAGTGACTCAGAGTGGCTAAGGAAAAAAGAATAAAAAATATAGCAGTAGTAGCTAATCTTGTATCCATTAGTATTATTGCAACAACCCAATGATTGAGGTCACAATTCACAATAAACTGTAATACAATTTGTTTGATTTTGAGTTAGTGTTATTTAAACCTAGCCATTATGGTATAGCTCATTTATAATTCCTTCTTCCTACATACAAACATATGCACATGCATTCATATATACAGATTCAGAGGTGGTATTCAGCCGGTTTGGACCAGTTCTGGAGAACCAGTAGCGGAAATTTTGAATAGTTCCGAGAACCGGCAAATATCACCTCTGACTGGAGATTTTACAGTATCCTTCCCCTGCCATGCCCACCAAGACACGGCCACAGAACTGGTAAATTTTTTTGAACCCTACCACTGTACAGATTGTACCCAAACCCAGGGACAATAGAAATATAGACAATCTAAAGGAAACCATCACATTAGAATCTGTAAACATGAGAGAAAACGTTATTGTATTTAGAGATGTTCAAAAGTCATAAAAAGGTCATCAAATGAGTAAGGAAGAATTTAGAAAAAATGGTAGATGGAGACATACAGACAGACAGATGGATAGACAGATATGATTTAGAGTCAGTTTTGTTTTCTGGAAATTACCTGGACAGGTTCCTGCAGTTTAATTGGTAATATTTTTAAAAGTGGTTTACTTTGTCTACATGGGGCTGGAAGAGAGTAGGTAACTCAAAATCATTCAGCTGGGTACCTAAGGCAGGGCTAAAATTAATGGCTTTTCAGTTTTAGCCCAGTTTCTTTAGCACCACATCATGCTGACTCTCATAAACCCAGAAAATGGTAGCTTATTAAGAAATCATAGTTAAATGGATAAATACATGACTTAGAACCACTTATGAACCTTCCCTGGCTTTCCCCTTTCAAAATAAAAAGTACAAGACCACTATTGCAACTACTGCTAACATTTCTCCTTCCCCCTAGAACAGGGATGGAGAACTATGGCCCTTTTATGACATGTGGACTTCAACTCCGAGAATTCCGGAGGCAGTTGAAGTCCACTAGTCATAAAGGGGCCATAGTTCCCCACCTCTGCTTTAGAGAAAGAAGTTGAGCTAATGATTGCAAAGGGATTTCTAGAAAACTCCAGCTATCTACCACAAGCAAAACATTATTTGATTTTTAATGTGTTTTTTGCAAAATTCTGAAATTTAATTTTATTTCATATTCCTACAATATTTTGTTCCAACTGCGCCAGAATCTATCTTTATTTCCAATGAAGTTTCAGTTAAAGCCAACAGTACTCAAGTCCAAGAACTATGAATGGGCAATTGGGGGACAATTTATTCAATTCAGAAGGTAAATTATGAAAAAAACATGTAAGTATAGAAGATAAATCTTCACTGTTAGGTTAGGAAAAGGTTCTCTCTCTCTCTCTCTCTCTTTTAGGCCATCTCTGTATTTCTGCATAGCAGACTCCCTTATCCTGATGCCTTCAATATGTATTGGGAGATCATAGGATTCCTATCAACATTGTAGGAGTTGCAAACCCATTATAGAAAATATGCAAATATTTAGTTCTCATAATTCTCAGTCAATATATGCAATGTATAGAGAAAGTACCATGCTGGGAAGGATTGTTCTCTTAGCTACTAATGGGATATGTTGGGATATTGAAAAGTCACTGTTTCTTTTCTCTACCACACTAGGCCTGACCAAAGCATCAGATCCAAATGTCTCATCTGCCAAAGCTGTCACCTATTCTGAACACTGTGAATCATCCCCAGACTGTCTTATAAAGCAAGAACAAAGTAAAACAGATCAAATATGTTGCTGTTCACCACAAGCCCTGAGGAACTTGGTCCATACAATGAAAAGTCTCCATGGGGAACTAGATTCTGTCTCTGTTGCCATTAAGAATCAAGGTTCCCAACTGGAAGCTGTAGCTCACAATCTGGCTGAGTTGTCGGCTTCTATACGTCTTCTGGTTGGAATATTGCCCTCTCTGGTACAGCCTGTCTCCTCCCAGTCCTTCTTATCTCCATCTGGGCAAGATGAAAGTCAGCTGCAAAATCAGCTACCCCTGAAGTGAAAAATGTATGAATTTTTGTAATACAAAATATTTATCTTCATGCCACCAAAATACAGAGACAAAAAGTCTACCTAGTGAAACTGCCATAAGATGGCTAAAATCAACATGTGCAAATTTTATGTACTAAGTACTAAGCATGTCACAATCAGAAATTGTTGCAATTCCAATTCGTATGTCAGAAACACAAAATCAAATGCACTGATTATTAGAGTGCACTAAGAGAAGTTGTCAGATGAATTTTTAACCCATTTATTATATTATTCACTGATTAAAATTAAGTTTTAAATGGCAGAGTCATAGATAATTTGAAATAAAATAAAATAAAAATGTGCAAAGAAAAAGAGAACAATGAGTTGAAAGTAGAAAAGAAAGAAAAAGAATATAATAAAGAAAAAAGAAATATATAAAGTTATTTTTCCTTTCATCACAACAAATATAAACAAGTTTAGTAACTTATAACTTTCTCTTAAAATACAATGAATTATTCCCATATTCCCATTTCTTATCCATAAACAAATTCATGAAACTTCATCATTTCCATCATTATGTCAGTAAAAGTTCATTAAAGGTTACAGAGATAACATATCTATTATAACAGATTTTATACTCCTTCCTTTTACTACTAGCAATCCTAACTTAGACTTTTGGGGGGAAGAAACGGCAAAGTGAAAACAACTCTATGAAAGATTGGGTTTCATAATTCTCTCTGGACAAGGATATGGGCAAGAGACAGTTGCTCTCAGTGAGGAGATCTCAACACTCTTCTGGATTTAAAGAACTGAGAGACAGAGAATAAGCATCTTGCTCAAACCATGATTGTCACATTTAAAAGGACATTTGGTTCACATGCTTCCTTTTCTAATCATTTTTAGAAATCGATTGCTAACCGATTTTCAGCTATTAGATGCTTTTTGATCAACATGTTTTATAGTACTGGGTGAGTTTCTTCAATCCTTAGAAAAGAAGTTTTAAATACAAGTTTAAGAACTTAATTCCCCCCCCCCCCCCCACCCCGAAATAAACAGCAAAAGGCTGACTGTATTTTAGAAATTTATAAATGGACTAAGCATCTAGATAAAGTTTAAATAAGACTTTGGAAGTAATTATAAAAATCCTTCCTGTTTGAAAATGCTTTTGTTTTGAATTCTTTTAAAAATATATAAGACTTTAAAAATTGGACTTAAGAAGAAACTAGAAAGAATTAAAAATTACAATTAAAGGAGAACACCACTCAAATTTCACTTACTAAAACAGAATGAAGCAAAATATTTTAACATTGGACATATGAAGGCTATTTTTGGAGAATAGATCCAGAAGTTAATTTTAAGACTGTCTATAAATAGACTTGTGTTTAAAATATGTTACTTTACTTCAATAAAAAATGAAAAAGAAAAGGATGGAAGAAGAAAAAGTATTATTTGGCATGATGAGACTATTTTGAAAGTAGATTTTAAAATGAGAGGCTATAAGAATGATATAGAAAAATATGTTACACTGAACATGAAAAAGAACTCAGCTAATGTCTTGATTTGTTACTTGTATATTACTTTTAATTATTAAAAGAATGACCTGGATAATTTCCCCATATTAAATTTACAAAGGAGCCTTGTTAAAGCTTGTAAGAATTTTTTGAGAAGGGACAAAGAAAAAAATGAAAAGAATTAAGGATATTTTTTGAAGATTTTATTTCTAGTCTTTCATAAACTTTGTATCTAATTTATCCTCCAACTACAGAAATAGAAATGAGAATCCAAACATTTTAGTTATGCAAGCTATATATTAACAGATGTGTCAATGTTTCTGACAATGATTTTCTAATTAGCTTTAACTAGTAAATATTTTCCACAAAAGAAAAGTTACTTGAATTATTAATGAATTATTAATGAATTATTAAACCTTTTTTTCTTCTTTAAGCAAAGTGGAGCATTATTTATTTAAAGCTATAAACTGTTACATAATATCAGTAAAAATATCAGTAAAAAACAGTTTTTACCAACTTGCTTACAATTTAACTGAGACAGGTAGAAATGGCCTTTAAAAACAGTCAAATTGCCATCTAGTCTAATAGCCATTATTCTCCAAAGACTCTGAACAATTTATTCCTTCTTTTTGTGACACTTTAAAAAGCACTAGTAAAGATGTCACCTTGATTTTTCCCTATTTATATTGCCACATTGATCATGCACCCTACTCCATGAAAACTGAAAAATAACTTTCTCTGGCTATGGTGATTCTATTTCTTTTTAAATGCTAACTCCACGTGACTTCTATTTTCCATCTCTTTCGGGATGGAGAAAGCAGCCATGGGTCAGCACATACCTCCAAGCCCACCTCACTGACCCCACACTAAGGACTTAGCCAACCGCATTATATTTAGCACAGTGATTAGAGAATGGGAAGTTTGTCAGGTGCAGCTGCTGCTAAGAGATGTGGGGACAGAAGGCACTAATACACCCCAACATGAGTTGGGAGTGGCAGCCCGAGGCTGTGAAAGGCTCTGCTAAGGATAGAGCTGCCATTCAACAGGTTCAGGATCCTACTAGAGCCTTGCACCTGACCTCAGGGCTCATTAAGAACTAATCCCACCACCTGTCCCAGCCTCCAGAAGACCAAGGCACATTTTGTGGCACAAGGTTCTATGGCATGGTACACCGCAAGGGAATTCATGGCTTAGAGATTTAATGTCACAAGATCCTATTGCATCTCACCTCCCAGTGTGATTCCTTCTGGGCCTCCAATCCCAGTGAAATGGCACCACTACTTTTTTTAGAAAATATAAAGATCGTATTTATATTTCCTAAAACAATATGTCAGAATACTGCAACTGGATTAAGGGACTGGAAAGAATTAATGCTTATACGGTAATCATACCTGGAGTTTTGAAAATAACAACAGACACTCAGAGTTGATGCTGGCTTCTCATTGCTCTGGGCATTAACATCAAGCTTTATTTGTCCCTTATTTTTAAAAAAACCCTCCATGGCAACCATACACACACACACACACACACACACACACACACACACACACACACGTACATATACATATATACATATATATATATGGCATTCAGCTTTGTTCGGGTATTTTCCCACGTCATTATAGTTATGCTTTTAAAGTTGTAGCAACGTTTCGGCAGAATCTCATCTGCCATCATCAGGCTTCTGTATTGTGTTCATCTGTGAGTCAGACTTTCACAGCCGTTTCAGTTTTAAATTTGGGGCTAGTCTACTGCTGTGCCAGAATGGTTTTTTCTTCATCCTTATTGGTTGGGAGTCTTGGTCTGTGTTTATTGGTCTTGGAATTTGCTGTGTTCTGCTTGATTGGTGTTTCTAATATCTTCTGTCTGTTTTGTGGCTTTTTTTGTCTTGATAGGCTGGCAATGTTGTTTAAGGTAGGGAAAAGCAACCAGGCCTTGAAGTTTGGTCAGACTTTCTGAAAAGCGGTAAAGAGGAACAAGTTTGGGAAGCCCTACTGTATATTTACCTGCCCTCCCCTGTCTAATGATTTGCAGTGGAGAATAAAAATATTGTTTTCAGAGCAAAAAAAAATTGTCAGAAGCAGGGGATTAGAGGACCATATGAGCATATGAAAAAAATAAGAAATAAAAATGTTCTTTTTTCATACACAAATGAGGTAAAGTGAGTTTTCCCCATTTTACAACCTTTTATGCCACAGTTGTTAGCCAACTATGGCAATTGTTAAATGAATCATGTGGTCATTAAGCAAATTTGTCTTCCTCTATTGACTTTGCTTGTTGGAAGCCTGATGGGAAGGTTACAAATAGTGATCACATTCAGGGGTGGGATTCTACCAGTTCACACCTATTCGCTAGAAACGGTTGTTAACATTCTAAGCAGTTCAGAGAACCGGTTGTTAGAAGAAATTACTGGCCTAATCTTGTAAGGAAGGCAGGAAGGAAACATTCTGATGTTCCTTACAGAAACTGCCTCTTGGTTAACCCTTACTACATTCTTGGCAGGATTAGTCTTCCTGTCTCAGGAACTTCTCTGGAGTTATTTTTCCCTCCTTTGCTGGTACTTTGCTTGTGTGGAGTGACCATTCAAAGTTACAATGGCACTGAAAAAAGTGACTTATGACCATTTTTCACACTTACCACTATTGCAGCATCCTCACAGTCATGAGAGGCCAGGCAAGGAGATGCGTGCCTCAATGTGAGTGATATTGTGTTGGGCATGCTCAGCCAATAACACGACCACCAAGCCACGTCCACCCAGTCACATGACCACCAAGCCATGCCCACCAACTAAGCCATGCCCAGAGAACCGGTTGTTAAAAAATTTGAATCCCACCCCTGATCACATTACTCAAGAACAGTGCAACTGTCATAAATTCATGCCAGTTTCCAAGCGCCAAATTTTGATCACACGACCATAGGTTTACTGCAACAGCATAAGTATAAAAACTGGTCATAAGTTGCTTTTTTCAGGGCCATTGTAACTTCAGACAATCACTAAATGTATGATTGTAAGTCGAGGACTACCTGTATAACATTTTGAATTCATGGTTTATTGAGGATACTAAGTCTTTAACATGCTTGTAAATCTCCCACTTAATTAAGAACTGATTTAGTTTATCAGTTCTTTGAGGGCAGGGAACAACTTATTTTGTCTAGTAAAGGCAATTGGAAAAGTATTTGGTCATCTAGTGCCATGATGGCAAACTTATGGCATGCGTGCTACAGGTGGCATGCAGAGTCATTTGTGCCAGCACGTGAGCTGCAGGCAAACTTACCTCACTGTGCATATGCGCACATCACAGCTGATTTTCGATGGGTTTGAGGCATTTTTTGGGCTCCCAGAGGCTTGAGGAAGGTCTCTGCAGGCTTCTGCAGGTTCTGCAGGCTGACAACTAGCCCCGTTTCATCACTTCCTATTTTTCCGACAGTACCGAAAGTGATGAAACAGGGCTAGTTTTCAGCCTGCAGAACCTGCAGAAGCCTTCCTCAAGTCTCTGGGAGGCCAAAAAAGGTCTCAAGCCTGCCAAAAATCAGCTGTGAGGCGCAGTGCAGGTAAGGGAGCGGCATGGGGAGTGGGGATTGTGCATGCATGCATAGGGGGCATTGGGTTGCACATAGCTTTCTGGATGCTGGCACGCGAGCACGAGCGTGCAAACATGCGCACAATTTTTGACACAGGAGCCCAAAAAGGTTAGCTACCACTGATCCAATGTATTTCACTACTCAGTAGTCATATTCCAGGCAGAAAAAAAATTAGAACATCTTTGACAGAAGGATATTCACTCTTTGCTAAAATATTCTAAGGACAATATACCAACCATTAG